TCTTAAATTCTAACTTGTATGAAAGAATGTATGCTAATTAAAAAACAAGCGTAGCTCACAATGCCATGATCAAAGATAAAACATAACATGAAAACAACACACAAATACACACACCACTTCTAGGGTACGCCTCACCTGTTGCCTTCAAAACGTGGTCGTCAAGTATAGGACGTTTTAGTAAGTCCTTATGTCCATGATCCAGTTGCCTCGAAACGGTTGCCTCGAAACAGTTGCCTCGGAATAGTTGCCTCGAAACAGTTGCCTCGGAATAAAAAGGATCAAGGACATAAGGGTAGCTTCTAAGGTGTCCTACTATTGCTTTGGTGACCACACTGTCCCTACACTCGAATTGACCCGAACACCTCCAACGGTGGTGCTACCTACCTCTCAATGGTGGGATGGCACTACCTTAAGGACATTTACACAGCCTGATTCCTTAGGGTAGGTAGATGAATCATAGATACTTGCTCTCTCCAAAAAACAAAACAAAAACCTTTTCACACCGACACTTTCAAAAATTTTTCAAAACAATTTTTCAAACACTCTTGAAGACTGATACAAGAGTTATTCAGAAATCTTTAAACGAAACTTTTTCAAACCCACTCACAATTGAAAAGAAAACATTTTGAAAACATAAGAGCAAGTATCTAAGAGCCCATGGATAACCATGGATAGAAAGGGTGCTAACACCTTCCCTTTCTATAAATCTACCTCCCGAACCGAGAAACATCTCAAAAAGGAATTTTGCTGTGCTTTTGTCCTGTCCATGTTGGAGAAAATAAAAGACGGTGGCGACTCTTGCTTCCGCAACATTTCGCGAACCAGCATTAAACAGTCAGTTCTAAATCCACCGATCACATTGACTTTTCAGTGTACAATCAAATTTTGATCAGTTGACTGAAAATTTTAATCTGTCAATCCTATGCATTTGAGATCTTTTGAACTTGTTGAGTGGGTCAAGACAATGTCATTGAGTCCTTGAGTCCATGTGTGAGCTTGATTTGCCATTGGCTAGGTCAAACAGTCAATAATTGCCTTTGTGTAGTCAAAACCCTAAAAATGACCATTTTGCCCTTTTGGTGATCTGATTAAATTTCTTGTGGAACTGTGATTCAAACTTGATCAAATGGTTCATATGAGTTCATAATGTTGATGTGGGTCAAATTTCATGAGGTTTGACTGTCAATTGGCCACAATTGACTTTTTCCCCAATACAGCTGATTTCTAGGTCAACTGTCCAATTGACTGGGCAAAAATTTGAATCAAGGTTTGAAACTTGGTATGGACAAACTTGTGAGTCCAACATGAAGTATGAAATTCACTTTGGGCATTGTAGGTCAAAACATCCCTGTGCAAACTCAAACCCTAATTTAGGTCAACAGTGCAAGGAGGTGTCTTGAGCAGAGCAAACCCTAGCTTGATCTTGAGTTCCAAGAGTCTTGTGATTGAGAAAATGTTGATGAAATGAGAGGTCAAATTTTCGGGTATAACATACGCGCATCAACTTTTCACATATTGTTATTTTTTGCTTATATTTCATTCCGGAAAGAACAGTTCTGATGCATTTCTTATAGGTTTATACTGTAACTGAAATGGAATGGATTGATTTTAGTATATCTATTTATACCTATGCAGGCTCAAAATTACCTGACAAGGAAATTGTTTTTTGGAATCAAATTTAATATTTTCTTTTCACAGGACCAAAACCATCTAAGTTGTATGGGAAATATACTTGGAAGATAGAAACATTTTCTCGGGTTTTGCATAGATTAGTATAATTGAGTTTCTAATGCAATTATTTAAATTGTGAACTTTATTGGATTAAATTTTTGGCAAATATTGTGGCTATAACGTTAAACAATGCACAACACTCGATCGAAAGTTGACCAGTTTGAGAATGTAAGTTGTTATTTCTGTTTATTTTTCATTTACCTTAATGCATGGAAATCATTCAATTTTCCTATATGTTTTCCACTTGTTTAATTAATTGATATTTTGAATGTTCAGTCTCAAATTGCAATAAATTTTGCAAGTTATGAAGATGGAGCATCAAAGGTGTACAACAAGAAAGATATCAGGTAAATTGTTATAAGTTTCACTTCTCACGACTATATTCATTTCTTGAATTGATGGGTGACTAAGTTACTTTATATATGTGTTATCAACCACTATACATTTTTGGGAGCTGGCACACACTTAGTACAATCTATTTATGCGATGCTTTTTTTATTTATAATTTTGTCAAATGCTATAAGTTACATAAACCTTTCAACTATTGATTCAAAAACAGTATATTCAATCAGTTGCAAGGCAATATCCAAATGAATTTTCATTGTAATTTCCTTTTGGATTATTGGTTTTTACTATGAGTATCTGGATGCTTATAGCTTTTTGTCCTAACTGTGCAGGAGATTTCTAATTGTTGCGAACGTATGTCATTTGAAAGTAAGATCATGCCTCTGATTTTTGTGTCCAACAATACTGATTTGCAGTCCTGCAAGAATTCCACACATTCTTCTTTTTCTCATTCTTTTGAAATCATTAGTTTTATATGAATTATGAAATTCATATCATGTGTAACTTCATTTTCTTCTTCAAAGTTCATTAAGAAAAAGAATAAAATTAACATTGGAATCATATCTCCATTTAATGCTCAAGTTTATTTGGGGAAAGTTAAGTAGTATACTTCGACTTCTAACTCATAGTTTTCTATTATTGTGCGTTCCGTTGATGGTTTTCAAGGATGAGAGAAAGATATTATAAAGTTAAGTATTTATGAAGATGAAGTGTTGTCACTCGACGGAGTTAATGGTATTGTTGTGCCAAATCGATTAGTATTTACAATAACCGGACAAAAAAACAAGTTCACTGAATTTAAATGTGATTGCTCCCTTAAAGGGCTCTTAACATGGAGTAACAGAATGTCAAAGGTCACCAGTCCTTTAGTTGTAAATGTTGCAACATCAAGCCTTGGGTTGGTCGGATAACAACATTAATAAATATGTACATATTAGGTTAGAGTTGTGAGATTCCCATGGTCGCTATAAAAACAAACATTCATACGCTCATACTCATGTACTGATGAATCTAAATTGTCATTTCCAAATCAAAGTTACATTACAGCTACATATTTGGAGAAATAAGCGATATCAAACAAAATTCAAAGAAAATATATCTTGATACAATCATCATACTTTATCACTATTTGTCAGTTATTAAAACAGAAAACTTTGTTATATAGTATTATTATACGTTAGTCCGTAATAGAAATATACAACCTGGATTCACAAATAGTTTGACAATTATTGTAATATTTTACCTATTAAATATAAGAAATTGTTTACAACTTTTTTGGATTCCAAATATAATAAAAATTTACCAAATTTTAAGATGCACTAATCCCTTATTTTACTTTTATACCATAATAAAAATGAATATACCAATTTTATGTCGCCAAATCCCCAAGTTCATTGTCCAATGATAGCATGTTGATGATTTCTAAAATTATATCCCCTCCGTTTTAAAATGACTATCGTTTTAGTAAATAAATTTTGTTTTAAAATATTGTACTATTTTTTTAATTGTGCCATTTACTTTTTACTCTCTATACTACTTCCAATATATTAATAGGAATAATTTTGTAATAGTGTAATATTTTATGATAACATCATTGTATTCTTTAATTTGTGTATAAAAACTTTAAAGGACAATCCTTTTGAAACGGAAAGAGTGTATGATAATTCATAGTAAACTAAGCATAGAAATTCATATGGTGAATAATATATGAACAATGCATCATGATGATTTAGTGATGTTTTTATGGTAATTTTTCTCTTCTTTTTTTTTTAAAAATTAATTTTTGGTTTAATATATTTTTTTGTCATGTTAACCACTGCATTCATTTTAGCTCTTTAATTTAAAATAAAAAAAAAAGTCTATATTAGTTTATTAACTCTTCAAAAAATTTTGTGTTAGTCATTTTTGTCTAATTAGCATGAATTTAATCAAATAATTTGAGTGTTTTCATCGTTAATTAAACGAAAATAACTGATATTATATGTTTTTGAAGAATTAAAGACATGCTATTGTTTCAGCTTCGACTTCCCATTGTTAGAAGAATTATTATTTCGGCTTTCAAAGTTGATAAAGTGGGCAAACTATTATTTTTGAAGAAAATATTTATAATTATATAAATGTCAACTAATTGAAAAATAAATTCATATTTAATAAATAAATAATTTGATAGATATGTAATGTGAACGCAGACAAAACCGATACGATAACACGAGTTTCTTTCCTATTATAAAAAAAAAATTGATCTTTAATCTTGAGCTAGAATTTGCAAATGATTGATTCATTTATTCTATTTCACTTTATCCAATTTTATATAATTAAAACATCAAATTTTTTTAATAGATCACTCCATCTTACTAAATTCCATCACTTTAAACAAAATTTTAAGAACACAAAGATAACATTCCACTCATTCAAGCATCAAGTGACAATTTTGTATAACAAACTTTATAATAAACATTAGAAGAAGAAAAAAGAGGAAAATGACAAATCAAACAAAGCATAAAAAAAAAGCAATTTTATAAAAAAATCAATTAAAATTAAAGTAAAGAAGCACTTTAGCAAAACCCTTCCCATCCATCCCATCTCTCATCAATGGTGTGAGTGCTTGTTACAAGGTGGAGCTTTACGCAATCCCATTATACTTTCCATCTTCTTCTAACAAAAATCTCTAGAATCTTTCTCCTCCCACTTCATTTCCATCTCTTACTAGTTTGTTTCTCCATTCAAAATTCTCTAACTCATTCACCCACTTTTTTATTCATCACTTTCTTCTACGCACACCCTTATAACCCTATCTACAAAATCAACAACCCCTTTTATTAAATTCCTTTTTTTTCTCTCTCTATGCTTTCAAGTTACGATTTTTATAATAGCGGAAAAAAAAAGCTTAGTGGGGGTTTTTGTAATTTTTTTTCTCCATTTTCATGGGTAACGTAGGAAGTTCTCACAGTCGTCGGAGACACGGTGGTGGCGGTGGAAGTGGCCGACGTGTTCATCCGCCGGTGACTCCTCCTCTACAAGAAGCTGCGGCTAATCAGTTTGCTCACCCTGCCGCTGCTCAACCGTATCAGAATTACCCGAATAACTATCCTCCGCCGGCGAGTGTTCCGATGCCTTTACCGGCGCCGTATGACCATCATCACCGGACGGCGATGGACCCGGTATATGGACGGTATCCGACGCTACCACAGGTGCCGGCGCCGTATGTGGAACATCAGAAAGCTGTTACTATTAGGAATGATGTTAATATTAAGAAGGAGACACTGAGGATTGAAGCTGATGAGGAAAATCCTGGGCAGTTTCTTGTTAAGTTTACTTTTGATGCCACTGTTTCCGGAAGGTAACGGTTTTTCTACCTTGTTTGATGATTTAATAAGTTAATTTGTTTTCATTTGTGGTTAATAACACTTCATGCGAATGTTAAGTGTATGTTTCGGCCGAGTGAATTGATTTTGTAGAATTGATTCTGGTTAAAATTGAGTTAGATGTAAAGTGATTTATGTTTGAATAAAGTGAAATTGAATAACAAACTTCAGGATTAAACTCAAAAGCTACAAATTGTAGTTTCGAGTAGAATCAATTCTGTAGACAATCAATTCTACACCTCTAGAATTGTTTTTGCTGTTAGATCATGTGTCTGCTTTCTTGATGTATTGTTGTTAGTGTTAACAAGCTTGTACGGTTGTGTGTACATGTTTGAGATCGCGGCGAGTTTGATGAAGTTATGGTGGTAACGTGGTTTTTGTCAAAACTGTGATTTTTTTAATGTGAACTGTAATGTAATGAGAGATATCTAATAGTTGTGCCAATGTAGAATAGTTTGAGTGACTATTTATGTATCGGCCCAATATGTCATTTTAGCTATCTTAGGAAGCTGGAAAAATGGTGCATGATAAAGGCTTGTAAGTATATTGTTGTGCTTTGTGCTCAATAAGTGTATCTATGCGTTGCTCGGGTTCAATTTTCTTTGACAATATGGGGAGTTTGATTTGAAAGCAAAGTAGGTTGCTGCCAAAGAATGTCAGCATGACAATTATCTTCATTTTGTAATCAACATTATTTAGAAGCACTATGTAACTGTTTGGTTGTATGTTTGAAGTCATAGACGTGTCATGTTGCGGAAAAAACATGAAAGAAAAAAACAAAGCTTCATCCTGTAGCATCAGGATAGCATACATTTGGTGGGGTAATAAGCAAATTTTAACTTTTTAGATTCATTGAATAATAATATATCTCGTTTATATATAGACCAAATACGTCAGTTATTCAATAAATCTAAAAAGTCAAAAGTTCCTTATAATAAGGAATAGAGGGAGTACTATTTTGTGATTTTTTTCCTTTCTATTTAATGTAGCTCTATACTTTGTTATGTTTAAAAGCAAAATTCCATTGTGCTATAGCTGTTTTATTTGTTTGATCTAAATGTCTGTTTGTCCTTATCTCTATAATAGCATCGCGGTTCTTTTCTTTGCAAAAGAAGGCGACGGGTGTGTCCTTACCTCGACAAAGGAAAATGTTCTTGCACCGGTTATCATAAATTTCCAGCAAGGTCTTGGCCAGAAGTTTAGACAGCCATCTGGAACTGGTATCAATTTCTCAATGTTTGAGGAATCTGAGCTATTGAAAGTGGGCGACTTGAACGTCTATCCTGTAGCAGTTAAAGCAGATGCATCTTCCGGTGCCGAGGACGGATCAAACGAGACTCCTAAATCTGGCAGCAAAACAAACACAAACAACTCTCAGATAACTCAAGCCGTATTTGAGAAGGAGAAAGGAGAATTCCGGGTGAAGGTTGTTAAGCAGATAATGTGGGTGAACGGAATGAGGTATGAGCTGCAGGAGATATATGGTATTGGAACTTCAGTTGAAAGTGACTTGGATGGGAATGACCCCGGAAAAGAGTGTGTAATCTGTTTGTCAGAACCTCGCGACACAACTGTCCTTCCTTGTCGCCACATGGTATTTACAGTTTTCTCTTTTATGATTTGATTTTGCTTTTATTGTGATTAACACAATGATGCCGATGTTAGCCGTTGATATCACTAGTACTAATCCTAAATCTCTGAGAAATGTTAAATGATATCTATGTTAGGTGCTACCAATTTTAAGCAATGATTAGAATGTCTAGTATTTTCTTATCATCTTTACCCCAAAGTTACTGTCACTGATCAATCTCAGCAACCTGGTTACTAGTTTTTGGAAAACTTAACTGTTCAAAACTACTTATGACATGTTCATAAGCTTTTTTTCAGTCTATTTCCCCATAAGCTCTCTGGATAGTTTATGAAAACAGTTTGACTTGTTTATCTTTGGTTAAACCAATAGCTCATAATTGAGTTGTATTTTTCAAATAGGGTCTAAGCTATAAGGTGTTTTCATAAGCTATCTTGAATTGTTTATGAAAATAAGCTGAAAAGAGTTCATAAGTTCTTCTAAACAGTCTCACTGGTGCCTAATATTAGCAGATAAATTCGAATAAGTTAATACAAATATGCCCTTAGTCAGTCAGTCCTTATTGATACACTTTGGCTGGATTCCTTTCCCTGTTGCAGTGCATGTGTAGCGGATGCGCGAAGGTCTTACGGTTCCAGACAAATAGATGTCCAATCTGCAGACAACCAGTTGAGAGGCTTTTGGAAATCAGAGTTGGGCCTGAGCCTGAGCCTGAGCCAAAGGCCGAGCCCAAGGAGTGAAGATACAAAGTTATTGACAACAAAATTCCTGTACAGTCCAAATGTTACTATAGTTAATGCATTTCACTTACTTAATTTCATGTTTTTTCGAATAATCCAAAAAAATGGAAATTGGAATTTATGTATGACCATTGTGTTTATAACATGGATTGGTTGTGGTTGGCATTGCGCCTGACTCTGTATAAGCAAATGCCTCCACCATGCTTGTTTGATTTCTCTTCTAACTTCTAAATGGCATCAATGTATAATTTAATGTTTTTTTCACCTCTTTTGCTAACTAATTTATTTTATTATTGTTTTTATTTATTTTGGGATAAATTGCACATAAATCCTTCCACATTTAGGCCTCAAGCAGAAAATTTATAGCAAAAAACAATTTTGACTAACTGGGCATGAGTCAACATGCATGGTTTGCTAGGAAACATATGTTTGGGGTTACTTTCACTGTGTTAGTTCCACGCCCACGTATATCGGAAATTTGGAATGTTTATTAGCAATTTGGTTAAAAACACAAATTTTTCATAAAAATTTGTTATCAACCGGTAATTTCAAATTTCTGATAGTGTTACGTTAATTATCAGAACTTTTGAAATTTTCGGTATTTACCACAAAATTTTGGAAATTTGAAATTTTTGGTACACTCAGTATGTTTTTTTTTTTCAATTGATTTTCTTCGCACATAACTGAATCAATAAATATGATACCTGAATAAACATAGACATTTAATATAAAATAAATTAAGAGAATTTCCTAACTTCTTCCCAGTGTCTAAAGTGATTCAAATGCTGATTTTCATGTTTTTGCATCGTCACTACAATTCTCACTCCAATAGACAATGACAGGAGGCAGTTGACAATCAGGTTTCAACTTTACCTGAACTAATGATTTTTGTTGACAAAGCCAATAACAATGATTTTATGCATGCTCGTATACATAGGTGGAGTTAAGGCAAGAGGAAAAAAGGTGATATTAAGTCTCATGGAAAGGGAGACAAATACAACACTGTATTTAGAAGCAATAGGGTAAACCATATCAGGAATGCTCATTCAATTATTTATATCTCGCACACCCGTGTGTCCTACTTGTAATAAATTTCTAATTGTAGAAACCGAGTCATAGAACAACTTGGGAAACAATTGAGGACACTGATGAATTTGAGTGTCTAACTGCGTCCGAACCAAAGTCCACATGTCTTCGCACCATCCAAGTTGAGTTGCAATACAACAAAATCCACAATTTCCATCATTTTCAACATCAATAATGCTCTCGGTCTGTCACCACAACCTTTGGTAGCAACTTCTCGAAAGAGAACAACTCCTTCAACTTCTATATTGCCCATGTGAAATTCTTCTCCTTTTCATGTTTCAAATAGGCAAAGACGATCGAAAATGTCAACTTCATTGACGTAACACCAACAATCTCAAGCAATGATAAACGGTACATGTACGTGCAACTTGGAAATAATCAAAATCAATAAAAATCAACATGGAAACAACAGATGTCAGTATGTCCAATAAAATATTCTTACCTATTTGTCTTGTATGTGCAGTCAAAAATCTATTAGAATATAGTTTCGTTCTACATCTTAGTAATAGTTTTGATGATAACAAATACATGTTATATATAAAGAACAAATATGCTCTCTAATAAATTATTTAAATATGCAGAGAAGTTCTGATAAAAGAAGCATAAGAAGCTGGCGAACAATTTGCGCTAAGAAGATCTGATAAGAATTTCTGTATAAACACAATTAAAGTATCACGCTCAATAGAAGAAGTTCTGATGTTACAACTTCTGAAACACCAAAGCTGCAAGCTAAAATCTGATGAAGCAATACTCTGATGATCTAAAGTCTCAAGGCTAATATTCTTATTTTGATTAAATTTCAAAAGAAATAAAGTTCTGATGCGTTACAATTCATTCATTAACAAATCAGAGAGTAATAACTAGTACCAGACAAGATCTGTATTTTTGGAAAATGCATTAACAATATTTTATCAATCTTTCAAAATATCTTCTCATGTCTCAAATGGATATAGAGCTTCGCCTATATAAAGGAGTTCTTGAAGGGTGATCAAACAACACTTGCACATACAAAGAAATATTCATAAGCTCTTTAAATTTTTTCACTGTGTCTTAACATTGTGTAAACATCACAGTTGTGATATAGTTTTTTAGAAACATTTTTGTAAATATTTTGATTCATATTTTTGTAATTCCTTGAGAAACCAGGTTGTGTTTAGTCTCAAGAAGACATTGATGGTAGTATTTGTATGTTGTAATCAAAGTTTTGATTAGTGATTGAGACCTTGATTGAGAGAGGCGAAATCACCTTGGCGGGTAGACTGAAGTAGTTTGAGTTCAAATAAATCAGGATAACCAAATGTGTCATACTATTTTTATTATTGAAAACCCCAATTCAAACCCTCTTTCTTGTATTTTTTTATCCTTCAATTGGTATCAGAGCACCTGGTTCTGGGTGCTAACACTTAACCGTGTCAAAAAAAGATCCTAGCAGAAAAACACTATGGTGGGACTAGTTCTGAATAACAACAATGATAACTATGATGAGAAAGACAAAATCAGCGGCAAACCTCTAATCTTTGATGGTGAAAAATTCGATTACTGGAAAAACAGAATCAAAAGTTTTTCCCTAGATCATGACGCTGATCTCTGGGATATGGTAACTGATGACTACATTCATCTAGTTGATGCAAGCGGTCAAAAGATCGACAGAAAGAAAATGATAGATCAACAAAAGAAAGAATTCAAAAATCATCACAAGACCAGAACATTCCTCTTGAGTGTTATCTCGTACATCGAGTATGAGAAGATCACGAACAAAGATTCAGCTAAGAACATATTTGACTCTCTGAGAATGATGCATGAAAGCAACATGCAAGTCAAAGAGACCAAAGCTCTTGCACTCATCCAGAAGTATGAGGCCTTCAAAATGGAAGAAGATGAAACAATTGAGACAATGTTTTCAAGGTTTCAAATTCTAGTTGTTGGGCTAAAAGTTCTGGATAAAGGGTACTCAATAGCAGATCATGTAAACAAAATCATCAGAAGCTTACTCAAGAAATGGAGACCTATGGACACAGTCTTAAAACTAGCCAAAGATCTGAACAAAATGTCTCTTGAAGAACTAATCAGCTCTTTGAGAAGTCACGAGATAGAACTAAAAGAAGATGAGCCCCGGAAGAAAGGTAAGTCTCTTGCTCTTAAATCTAATAAATATGAAACTAAAGCTTTTTAGACAAAAGAAGAAAACTCTGGTGGATCCTCGTCAGAAGAAGGAGAACTATCTCTTCTCTCCAGAAGAGTCCATAAGCTATAGAAGTACATATAAAGGAAATTCAGAAATCCCAGAAGGACAGGAAATCACTCTGAATCACCCTCTGGATACAGAAAGTCTAGCAACAAAGATGTCGTCTGCTATGAATGCAAAGAGCCAGGTCAATACAAAAGCGACCGCCCCAATTTTTAGAAAGAAAAGCCTAAAAAGAATTTCTTCAAAGAAAAGAAGATAAATCTTATGGCAACGTGGGATGACTCAGAATCTCCTGAAGTTGAAACTGAATCAGAAGATGAACGAGCCAATATAGCATTAATTTCATACAGACTTTCTTCTAATTGAGATCTAGTGAATTTTGAAAATACCTCTTTTGAATCTAGTTCAGATTCTGATGTATTTGTGTCTTCAGATATGTTTGAAATTAATGCTATATTGGCTCAGAATCTTCTGAAGTTGAAATTGAATCAGAAGATGAATGAGCCAATATAACATTAATTTCCAACATATCTGAAGACACAAATACATCAGAATCTGAACAAGATTCAGAAGAGGTATTTTCCAAATTCACTAGATCTCAATTAGAAGAAAGTCTGTTTGAAATTCTTGAAAGATATCAGCAACTTCGAGTCAAATACAAGAACTAGAAACACGTTCTTGTATCTGAAACTGAAGAAACTAGGAAGCAAAAAACAGAAAACTCTGAACTAAAAGAAATTAATTATAAACTTAAAAATGAATTAAAAAAAGCTCAGAAAGAATCTGCTTCAGAAGTTTCAAACTGTTTTGGTAACATCATAAAATAATATGATCACAACTTTCAAAAATTTCTAGCTAGAAACATAGATAGAAGCAAGATGGATTCAATGATCTATGGAGTTAGCAGAAACGATAAAAAAGGCGTAGAATATGTGAAACCAAAAGGAGAAGAACCATATCATCCAAAGAAAGTTGATGACATGGTCATAAAACACACACCTTTAAGCTCACACTTCATATATGGACACACACATGATATAAAATATACTAGTGAATTTAACTCTGAGAATTCTATTTTGAAACCAAAATTCAATCAGAATTTTGGAAACTCTAACAAACAAGGACCCAAAAAGATATAGGTACCTAAGGATAAAATCATCTATGTTACAGATGTCTTTAACAGCAAAGTTGAAACACCAGTCTTGGTACTTGGACTCTAGATTCTCTTGACACATGACGGGAAGAAAGCATATGTTCCAAAGCCTGGAACTTAAATCTGGAGGATACGTAGGTTTCAAAGGCAATCAGAAAGGAAAGATTGGCTCTAGAACCATTGGTAACTGTACACTTCCTTCTATAACTAATGTTTTGTTAGTAGATGGATTAATGCATAACCTGTTATCCATAAGTCAATTAAATGATAATGATTGTGATATAATCTTTAATCAAAAGTCCTGTAAAGGTGTTAATCAGAAAGATGGATCAATCCTCTTTAATGGTAAGGAGAAAGAACAACATTTATAAAATAAAACTTTTTAAACTAAAAAGTAAGAATGTAAAATGTCTTATGTCTGTTAACAATGAGAAATGGGTCTGGAATAGAAGATTGAGGCATGTTAGTGTAAGAAGAGTATCTCAGATTAAAAACTCAATCTGGTCAGAGGACTTCCTAACTTGAAGTTCAACTCAGATGCTTTGTGTGAAGCATGTCAAAAAGGCAAGTTTA